TCCTGGGGGCTTCTTAAGGCCGAGGGCTCGAAGTTTTGTTTTGTGTTCCCCCTTTGGGGCATCGCTTGGGGCCCTCTTGGGCCCCTCTTGGGCCGTCTTGGATGCCTCTGGGGCCGTCTTGGAGCCCTCTTGGGCCATCTTGGGGCCTTCTTGGGAGCTTCTTGGGCCCTCTTGGGGCGATCTTGGGGGCCTCTTGGGCCGTCTTGGGGCGTCGGGAAGCCGAAAAGATGGACACGCCAAAATTTGCCCAGAACCTAAGGACAAGTAATGAATTCTTTACGCTTCGCGTAATCCCACCAGCCCATCTCACAGCAGCAACTCTCGCGAAGCATGCCGACTGTCGTTTTTTTCAGGCGTGTGTCCGCTTGGCCCCGCATATCTCCCCTGCTCCTCCTTCCTCCCGCCTCCTTGTACATCCTCCTTGTGAGGGGAGCGGGAGAAGGACGAGGCGGAGGAGGAGGGAGAGAAAGCGCTCCTCGTGATTTGAGTCGTTTGGGGTTTCTCGTCCTGGTGTGAGTCGTTCGGGCCCTTCTTCCTGGTGTGAGTCGTTCGGGCTCTTCGTGGTGTGAGTCGTTCGGGCTCTTCGTCCTGGTGTGAGTCGTTCGGGCTTCTCGTGGTGTGAGTTGTTCGGGCCCCTTCGTCCTGGTGTGAGTCGTTCGGGCTTCTCGTGGTGTGAGTTGTTCGGGCCCCGTCATCCTGGTGTGAGTCGTTCGGGCCCCTCCTCCTGTTGTGACTCGTTCGGGCTCCTCGTGGTGTGAGTCGTTCGGGGCCCGCGTCGTGGTGTGAGTCGTTCGGGCTCCTCGTGGTGTGAGTCGTTCGGGCGCCTCGTCCTGGTGTGAGTCGTTCGGGCCCCTCCTTGTGGTGTGAGTCGTTCGGGCTCTTCGGTGGTGTGAGTCGTTCGGGCCCCTCGTCCTGGTGTGAGTCGTTCGGGCTCCTCGTGGGGCCCTCTGGGGCCTCTTGGGGGCCTCTTGGGGGGCCTGGGGGCCTCTTGGGGGCCTCTTGGGGGCCTCGTGGGGCCTCTCCTGGGGGCCTCTTGGGGGCCTCTTGGGGGCCTCTTGGGGGCCTCTTGGGGGCATCTTGGGGCCTCGTTGGGGGCCTCTTGGGGGCCTCTTGGGGGCCTCTTGGGGCCGCTTGGGGGCCTCTGGGGGGCATCTTGGAGGCCTCTTGGGAGCCTCCTGGGGGCCTCTTGGGGCCATCTTGGAGCCTCTTGCGACCTCCTCAGAAGCGCAAATGAGAGCTGCCCCCTGAGAAGGACAAAATGAGCCCAAAACCTTCGTAACATCAATGATATTGCTATGAGGGAAGAGAAGCGCGGCCCCCTCAGAAGGCCAAAATGGGGCCAAAACCGTCGTAAAATCTATGATTTTGGCTTCAAAGACGGTCTGAGGCGCCAAACGGTCCCCCCCCCTGGGGGCCAGAATCCTCGTGAGGGTCGTAGTTTTTTGGCCCTCCCAGGAGTCGAAAAAGACCCCCTTGATTGCACTCGGTCCGCCCTCTCCAGGCCCAGGGGGAGGGGGTAGGGGGAGGGGTAAACCCCTCCCCGAAGGGGAAGAAGGGGGGTTGAGGACAGAGCGGGCTCTCTAAACCACTCACGCCCAAAGGGCTGGTGGGATTTTGCCTCTTGGGACCCTCTGGGGAGTGCTCTTGGAGGCCTCTTGGGGCGTCTGGGGGCCATCTTGGGCGTCTTGGAACGATCGTGTGGCATCTCGGAGCACTCTTGAACCATCTTGGAGGGCTCTTGGCGGCCTCGTGGCCCTCCCTGGGCTCTCTGGAGGGCCACGGGGGCGGCGCCCAGGAGGAAAACCATCTCTGATCTGACCCGAGTCTGCCGGGGATCGCCCGGGGTACTTTTCGTCCGGGGACCCCCAGGGGCCGCCCCGCGCGCGCGAAGTAGAAGTATTATCCTCTTGCACAGGGTGTCTAGAGCTCCGGCTACATTATTTCGGCACGGCACACCCCTCATCACCTACACATTCCACCAGCACCGACCAGCCAGTGCGCCCCTCCGCCCCGACCCCTTTATTTCGGCACGGCGCACCCCTTCGCCCCGACCCCCACCAGCACCCACCAGCCAGTGCGCCCCTCCGCCCCGACGCCTTTATTTCGGCACGGCACACCCCTCCGCCCCGACCCTTTTATTTCGGCACGGCACACCCCCTCCGCCTCCCCCCACCCACCAGCCAGCGCGCCCCTCCGCCCCGACCCTTTTTATTTCGGCACGGCACACCCCTCCGCCCCGACCCCATTACTTCGGCACGGCACACCCCCTCAACACCCCCTCCACATTCCCCCCACCCACCAGCCAGCGCGCCCCTCCGCCCCCGCGCCTTTCTTTCGGCAGGGCACACCCCTTCGCACCGACCCTTTTACTTCGGCACGGCACACCCCCTCCGCCCCGACCCTTTTTATCGGCGCGGCACCGCCCCGCCCGACTCCTTTATTCGAGCACGGCAAACCACTTTACGCCCCCCACCCCACCCCACCACCACCCGACACGGCACACCCCTCGACCCCGACCCTTTTCATTTCGGACGGCACACCCCTCCGCCCCGACCCCTGATTTCGGCAAGACACACCCCCTACGCTTTCCCCTCCAACCACACCCCGCCCCCCGCCAGCGCGCCCCCCTCAACCCCGACCCCTTTATTTATTTCGGCACGGCGCACCCCTCCGCCCCGACACCTCTTTATATTTCGGCACGACCCCCTCCGCCCCTACATCTTTATTTCGGCACGACGACACCCCCGACGCCCCCCCTCCCACCCACCAGCCAGCGCGCCCCTCTCTGCCCCGACCCTTCTATTCTCTTGCACAGTCGTGCTCTAGAGCTCGGACATCTTTATTTTCGTCGTGGTTCGTGGTTCGTGGTGGTTCGCCCCCCTCGGCCCCTCCCCTGAGCCTGAGCCCCAGCTCCCCTGGGCCACCCACCCTTCGGAGGTTTGCTCCGTCCAGGCTTCCCAGGACAGCCCCCCTGGACCGCGGACATCCTTATTTTCGTCGTGGTTCGTGGTTCGTCGTGGTTCGTCCCCCTCGACCCCTCCCCTGAGCCTGAGCCCCAGCTCCCCTGGGCCACCCACCCTTCGGAGGCTTGCTCCGCCCAGGCTTCCCAGGACAGCCCCCCTGGACCGCGGACATCCATATTTTCGTCGTGGTTCGTCCCCCTCGGCCCCTCCCCTGCGCCTGAGCCCCAGCTCCCCTGGGCCACCCACCCTTCGGAGGCTTGCTCCGGGACCTCCCCCCTGGGCCGCCGACATTTTTATTTTCGTCGTGGTTCGTGGTTCCTCCCCTGAGCCTGAGCCCCAGCTCCCCTGGGCCACCCCTCCTTGGGACCCCCCCTCCGTCCAGGCTTCCCAGGGCAGCCCCCCTGGGCCGCGGAACCCTTTATTTTCGTCGTGGCTCGTGGTGGTTCGTCCCCCTCGGCCCCCTCCCTGAGCCTGAGCCCCAGCTCCCCTGAGCCACCCACCCTTGAGAGCCTTCCTCCGTCCAGGCTTCCCAGAGGCTCTTTCTTACCCCAACCTTATGAAAACCGAACTCGGGATAAACATTTACACCGACTGCACCCCCTCCTGGAAGAAGGAGGCGCGGGCTTCCAGTCCTTCGCAGCTCTTTTGTGCAAGAGCCAGGGCACGCGTGCCACTTGTTTTTCATATCTCCGACGACGGTATCATCAGCGGGTTCTATGACGTCTGCAACAACACCATCATCAGCACGGGCACCCACGCTTCCGACACCAGACAGCTCGGTTCCACGCTATGGGGGGCGACAAAGAGGAATGGGGAGTCCGAAAAAAGACAATGGCTCGCTTCAGCCCTCTTGGGATCTCCCAGGGGGTCGGTGAAAACACGCAGCTGCCGAGAGCGGGTTGAGGTTGTCGCTCGATGTTTCGGAAGGTTTTTGGAACTTGTTTGGCCACTTCTGTTACTCACCGCGAGCATGCCAACGATCATCTTGGATGCGTTCCCGACTCCAGCTCCCGATTCTCCGACCCCAGCTCCGACGGTAATGTTGTCCTATACCAGATCCCGTATCGATATGCGCATCCCGATTATATACCCGACAGCGCCCGTGATTTATCCCGACACCAGCGATCGACATTCCTACCCTACTCCGGCATTGTTTTCTGCAACAATCTCAATTCGTTGCAACAATGTGAAATAGATTGAGCAGGGTACTACTCGAATTCGCGTGGTACAATCAACAACATCAATTGTATGTGCGACGATTGTGTAAACGGCCATACCCTACAATTTTTATCATTATCAATGGTGGCAGGCGCTTCGCGTAAGCCCACCAGCCCATCCAAAACGATGCCCAGAAGAAGGGCCTCGATCCGGGAAGTGGGCAGCAAGCAGAGGAAGAGTCGCTGTCCCGGACGCCTCTTAGAGCGTCATGGGTGCCTCGGAGAGTTTTTTGGGGCTTCTTGGGGGCCTCCTGGAAGCCTCTGGGGCGCCTGTCGGGGTTCTCTTGAAGCGATCTTGTGAGCCTTGGGAGCGCTCTTGGAGCCCTCTTGGGCCATCTTGGAGTCATCTTGAAACCTCGGATGGCCATCGGAAGCGAAAAGGCGAGAAAGCCCAAAACAATGATTGTCCTGCGGTTTTTTTTTCCGCGCGCAGCCGCCAAAACACAGTGCCACAGCAGTCTTGGCACGAAAGTCGCTTTGGGCGAGTCGGCCGGCGGCTGGCTAAGCAGGCCTACGGGAGGAGGGGCAAGACCGTTGCGCCCCCAGCAACCGCGGGGTGCGGGAGCTGGGGGTCCAGTTCAGTCAAAGCAGCCTCGGCAAAAGAGAGCTAGGCTGGGATATGGAGCTCGCCGAAGTGGAAGACGACGGCGGGCCCCGCCAGCCTGCACACCAACCGAGCTTCCGTGAGAGGCTCACACGTGGTGCCAGCTGGCGGGGAAGGGCCCACCTGGGAACACCCACGGCGCACCAGGGGCATGCAAGCAGCGGCCCAACCATAGGTGACCGTGGGGCCCAGGCAGGCCAGCCTCTCAGGAGCACTTCACGAAGACGAGGGGGCTCCGTGCGTCGCTCCAGCACCGGTCGCAGGCGCAGGGTCGTCCGTGACGAGCTTGCGGAGCACCGCGATCGGGAGGCGGTCGACGTCGTACTGCCGGGTAGGCCGCAGAAGGTACACGGCGCCCAGGGCCGCGCGCTCCTCTGCGTCCGAAGGCGGCGGCGCCGAGGAGGCCGCAGGCGCCTCGGAGGGCGCTGCCTCCGTGCCAGGCGCACCTGCCTCGGCCATGCCGTGGTCGGCCCAGGAGTCGTCGTCGATGTCAGCGGCCTCCGCGGGAGCAGGCGCAGGCTTGTCGAGCGCCATGGGCTCGCACCAGCCTGCTCCGCCTCCGCAGCAGCCGCAGCTTCCCCCCGTTCCAGAGCCTTGCGCCCAGCACGCGCCAGGCGGCGCCGCCGACGCCGCTCCTTCCTGGCCTCCGAGGGGACCTGCGGGCGAGGATCAGGGGGTTGAGCAGGAGGAGCACCAGCCTCAGCACCGCCATTCGGCACCTCGGGAGCCTCGGCCTGCGCGAAGAGCGCGGCAGAGACTGCGGACCGAGCTACCGCCGCCACGGTACGACGTGGGGCACCCCCGAGGACAGCGCCGCGCACAGCAGCCTCCACCAAAGCGGCGGCGACGGACGGCGGCGCGCGAGCCCCTCTAGGCGCAGCCATCCCGCGGCGGCCCCGACGCGAGACGACGGGGCGACGAGACGACGACGCCGTGCGAACGCTTGAGCCAAAATGTGCCTACAGGAGGAGGAGGAGGAGGATCAGACAATTTCGAGCTCGGCTAAAGGGCATGCCTGCTCACGAGATGTCTGAGGCAAGTCTCCAGAGCTCAGAACAAGTCGCGCCACAGCTCGTTGCACCGTTATGCCAAGAAGCCCGGTGCATACCAAGAAATACACGATAGTGGGTTGGGGTCCAAACAACAGAAATATACGGCAGATTGGGACCATAAACGGTGAAGCTATTACCATTTCTTGCTCGGGAACGTCGCGAGATGTACACGAGGCGCTCCAGAAAAGTGTTGGGGCCTACTACCCCGCTGGGCCGGGATTGCCCCGTAATTGCTCGTTCCAGATTTGGGGGGCCCATTCCCAGAAATTGGAGATAGCACAGTCGCATCACAAAACAAAGGTAAACCACCAACAAGCCACCAAATCAATACAATGCATGTCAGTTGGTGGGACCGGGATGTGGGTCGTGTGTAGCAAGCGTTCCGTATTCCACTTCGGGATGCACGATCCAGTTTCCACCAAGATTTGCCTCCATGCTGCCACGAATTCCCGGTGACGACCACGGTACAGCCACCAAGTATTGAAGCCAAGATTGCATGTCTTTGTGGGTCCGGTGTATCGTACGTACTTCTTATACCCAGACGACGCCGAATGGCACATTGTAGTGAGTCAGTCGACACTACAAGCCTTGCATACGTTGGACATGCGAGAAGCCATACTGTTGCAAAAGGCACAAGGTCGCACATGTGGCTTCCATCCGTATATTTCGGAAATTTCCCCAGCGAGTTCGTTATAGGGATCCACGCCGATTCTTGGCAATTATCCCGGCAAAGCAACCTAACAGCGATGTGTAGAAGCATATTTGGAAGCATTCCCCTTGAGATTCAGATGAGAATCCAGTTGTAGAATTCTGCCGTTCTCGCAGTCGCAGTCGCATTCGCGACGACAGTCGCAGTGGCAACGGCAGTCGCAGTCACAGCCTCAGCCTCAGCCTGCCTCAGCATCAGCATCAGCCTGCCTCAGCCTCAGCCTCAGCCTGCATCAGCCTCAGCCTCAGCCTGCATCAGCCTCAGCCTCAGCCGGCCTTCAGCCTCGGCCTCAGCCTCAGCCTGCCTCAGCCTCAGCCTGCATCAGCCTGAGCCTCAGCCTCAGCCTGCCTCAGCCCCAGCCTGCCTCAGCCTCAGCCTCAGCCTGCCTCAGCCTCAGCCTCAGCCTGCTTCAGCCTCAGCCTCAGTCTGCCTTCAGCCTCGGCCTCAGCCTGCCTCAGCCTCAGCCTGCATCAGCCTCAGCCTCAGCCTCAGCCTGCCTCAGCATCAGCCTGCCTCAGCCTCAGCCTCAGCCTGCCTCAGCCTCAGCCTCAGCCTGCTTCAGCCTCAGCCTCAGTCTGCCTTCAGCCTCGGCCTCAGCCTCAGCCTCAGCCTGCCTCAGCCTCAGCCTCAGCCTCAGCCTGCCTCAGCATCAGCCTGCTCAGGCTCAGCCTGCCTCAGCCTCAGCTCAGCCTGCCTCAGCCTCAGCCTCAGCCTGCCTCAGCCTCAGCCTCAGTCCTCAGCCTCAGCCTCGCCTCTGCCTCAGCCTCAGCCGCTCCTCAGCCTCCTCAGCCTCAGCCTCAGCCTGCCTTCAGCCTACAGTCCTGCCTTCAGCCTCGGCCTCACCTCAGCTACAGAAAGAATGTTCAAGGCAATCGTCATCTTGCGTCTTCAACTAGAGCATCACCTCAGCCTACCTCTCCGTCAGCCTCAGCCTCAGCCCTGCCTCGCACAGCCTGCTTCAGCCTCAGCCTCAGTCTGCCTTCAGCCTCGGCCTCAGCCTGCCTCAGCCTCAGCCTGCATCAGCCTCAGCCTCAGCCTCAGCCTCGCCTGCTTCAGCTCTAGCCTAAGTCTGCCTTAAGGCTCAGCCTCGCCGCAGCTGCTTCAGCCCTCAGCATGCATCAAGCCTCAGCTCAGCCTCAGCCTGCCTCAGCATCGGCCTGCCTCAGCCTCAGCCTCAGCCTGCCTCAGCCTCGCCTCAGCCTGCTTCAGCCTCAGCCTCAGTCTGCCTTCAGCCTCGGCCTCAGCCTGCCTCAGCCTCAGAGTCAACCTGCCTCACCTCAAACACTGGCGGCCTCACCTCCCTGCTCAGCCTCAGCTCAGTCTGCCTTCAGGCTCAGCCTCGCCTGCCATGCTTCTGCTCAGCCCTCAGCCTGTCGTCGCCTCAGCCTCAGCTGCAGCAGCATTCAAAATGTGGCCCGGGAATGGAGTTCTGGGAACTCGAAGAGCACGAAGTGGCCTACAGTTGGCTCCGGGCATCCAAATGTGGCCCGGGAATGGAGTTCTGGGAAATAGAAGAGCACGAAGTGGCCTACAGTTGGCTCCGGGCATCCAAAATGTGGCCCGGGAATGGAGTTCAGGGAACTCGAAGACCACGAAGTGGCCTACAGTTGGTCCGGGCATCCAAATGTGCCCGGGAATGGAGTTTTGGGAACTCGAAGACCACGAAGTGGCCTACAGTTGGCTCCGGGCATCCAAAATGTGGCCCGGGAATGGAGTTCTGGGAAGTCGAAGAGCACGAAGTGGCCTACAGTTGGCTCCGGGCATTCAAAATGTGGCCCGGGAATGGAGTTCAGGGAGGTCGAAGAGCACGAAGTGTGCGATTGTTTGCTTAAAACGAGCCCGGTTCTCGCCTGTCCGGCTCCCGCCCAGACCCTTTTGGGGAGTCATCAGATGTTTTTTTTTCACCCCATTAGAAACCTATCAGTCTTCGCTGTTAGGTAATTATCCCGACAAAGCAACCTAACAGCGATGTGTAGAAGCATATCTGGAAGCATTCCCCTTAAGATTCGGATGAGAATCCAGTTGTAGAATTCTGCTGCTCTCGCAGTCGTAGTCGCATTCGCGATGACAGTCGCAGTGGCAACGGCAGTCACAGTCACAGCCTCAGCCTCAGCCTGCCTCAGCCTCAGCCTCAGCCTGCCTCAGCCTCAGCCTGCCTCAGCCTCAGCCTCAGCCTGCTTCAGCCTCAGCCTCAGCCTCAGTCTGCCTTCAGCCTCGGCCTCAGCCTCAGGCTGCCTCAGCCTCAGCCTGCATCAGCCTCAGCCTCAGCCTGCCTCAGCCATGCGGATCCCCGCCGACACCAAGCACGCCTATACCCAACCGCCGTCGCACTGCGCAGGCCATGTGTGTGTTGTGTAGCACAAGTAGATCCGTAGTGGGGCACACCGTGAACCATGACCCCGCGTAAGCCCCCATGCATGACCACACCCGGGCTTTGCCAGTCGTAGCTGCGTTACGTCGGGCCCCAGGCCCGCCTCCGAGAGTAGCCATAAGAGACTGGTAGGCAGCACGTTCCAGATCGTAAGATGCATGGTATTGCCACCCCTGGCTCCATTCCCCGAGCACCGTCGGTTCAGTAGGCAATTCTGGGGGTCGGCTTCCAGCGGCCAGCTGTTCCCTATTGGGCCGTGCTCCCCACCCTGCCCTGTCGCATTGTCGTCCGGCTGCTTCTGCTGCTGCCACACATGCAGGGTAGTTAGCGAATTCGTGCGGCTGTGCGTCACGAAGCGCGCGGAGATTGTTGAGGATGTCTTGTTCTATTGTTGGGAACCCAATGGTAAGACTGTGGAGGGAGTCCGCCCAGCTCGCCCAGTATGCTGCCGGGGCAAGCCGTTGAGAGTCCCGAAGCCCCATGCCCGCCAAACGTATTGGGAGCTTAGCCTGTGCAACCCATGCGTCATACGAAACACCGTGTAACTGTGCATTCCATGCACTGGTCCCTGGGAGAGCGAACAGGAGTCGGAAAGTATCGATGACATGAGTGTCGTGTGCGACTGCGGCAGTCACGGATTGGGCCGGCGTTGCGGTCCGCAGGAGGTGGTTCAATCTCGGGACGCCGCAAAAGTACAGGAGGAGCCACGCGGACTGCAGAGATGGGAGCTGAGGTAAGATGTTCAGGAGCTTCGCCTTCTCTGCAGCCTCTGAGCTGCCGAATGCACTGATGTACACGTCCGTCCCAAATGGTGCCTTTCAAGGAGCTCCACCGAGGGCCCCCGTGGCTGCGTTCGCATGGCGGCACCGCACCTATTTCGGCCTACCCCTCACCCAGCTCGTGGCCCTATAGCCCCACCGCGGGTTCCAGTGGCTGTGTTCGCATGGCGGCACCGCGCCCATTTCGGCACACCCCTCACCCGGTTCGTGGCACCATAGGGAGGTCCACCGCGCGTTCCAGTGGTTGTGTTTGCATGGCGGCACCATTTCGGCATACCCCGCACATGTTTCGTGGCCCTTGAGGAAGCTCAACCGAAGGCCTCAGTGGCTGCATTCGCATGGCGGCACCGCGCCCATTTCGGAATATTTTTTACACGTTTCGTGGCCCCTGGGAGCTCCACAGGAGGGCCCCCGTGGCTGCTTTCGCACTGCGGCACCGCAGCTATTTCGGTATACCTTTTACACGTTTCGTGGCCCATAGGGAGCTCCGTCGAAAGTCCCAGTAGCTGCGTTCGCATTGCGGCACCGCGCCCATTTCGGAACATCTTTCTTACGTTCCGTGGCCCTAGTGGGTGCGTTTGTGTGACGACACCGCCCTCTTATTTCGGCACATGGCAAATAAA